AAGAAAACAGAATTTTTCTGCCCGTGAATCTTTCGCCTGTTGAAAATGAATCTTTGAAGGTTGTTGAGAAGTCTCAACATAATAGTTGATTACCTGAGTGCATGATGGGAAGGTATTTGTCTCTATAACGACTTACAGTGACTTGTTAAGGCTGCCTGATGAAGCGGTGTCATTCCCGAGATGGACTTCTCATTGCTGTCTCTTTACTTACTGTGGAAGCCAAAGAGACATTTGGCTTGCACATGATAGAGAAATTCTGAGTCCCAGAGAGAGAGGGGAGAACTTACTGTGGACTCACATTTGCCTTGGCCATCCCTTGAGGTGTTAGTGGAAGAAAGATGTGACTTTTGATTCAGCAGCCCCAGTAGCATCTCTTCAGTCCCATCCCCTTGATGGAAACGATTGCCTCCTGCTAGTTCTTTGAGCTGAGTCTGCTTGGTTCTTGGTCCTCCATCATCCTGAGACTTGGGTCAAGGTTCTTTCAGCATACAGCCATACTTCCCGTGAATGTACTCAGTGGGACAGATAGCACAAAGTCCTGCAACATGGCTTCTTTCCACTGTTGGACAGGTAACAAAAAGCCTTAAAACTCCCAGGCATCTTGGGGGAACTCCTGGTTCCCATTTCTTTTCTTCTCCTGTTGTTTCTGTTTGGTATTAGCAGGAAGTCTGAACTGGCTGATAGAGGAATAGCACGGCAGTGAGCAGGCTTACTGTGTTGGCAGAGAGAGCCCAGGGACAGCAGCAGCCTGGGTCTTCTGTCTTGAGCCAATCTAGGGACTCTTTCTTCTCAGGGGCCTGGGTTAATTGAGAAAGCCCCTTGCTAATGCAGTCAAGCACAAAGCAAACCAGGTGCCTAGTGACTTAGCAACTATGCAAAACTTACCCACCTAGAGCCTTAGCAGACCCCACTGTGCAGCCTTGATCCCTTTAAATTGTAAAGGGTGAACTACTGCTTTGGAAGATAGAGGTGAAATTGCTCTCTCCTAAGGAGAACAGTAATATTGGTACGGACTTTGTAATGATTCCTTTTCCCCTAACTCACTTTGGAAAGAAGAGACGATTTCAGGAAGGAATTGTCAGCTAAGTACTCATTTGTTTATTTGGATATTAGATCGGGTCTTGGGGATCACATTCCAGAATCTTCACCCTTTTCAAACCTGAAAATTAATGATGAAGATTCATTGTCTCTCTGTTGCTGCTTGACACCACGGTTTACAGCCCATAGTGGTTCTGAAAAGGGCTGTTCAATTGTCAAATGACTCCACTGTGAAATAAGTTAATAGGTATGCAAATCAGTCATCATTTAGAAATAAGCTCAGAGCAGGAACAGGCCCTCTACCCATTTGTTGCCTTCTTTCTCGTCTGAAGTTGGTGGCAGTGTTCTGCCTTCTGGGCTTAGGAGGCTTTCCACATCTGGAAAGTGACCCCTTTACTGGATGAGCTGAGGATGGGGAGCAGACCTGCATAACCAGCTCCCTACTTGGTCATCAATCAGAGCCCCACCAGTCTTCAGCCTGATACATATCCGACAGGGGGTGGATTATTTTAGAAGAATGTGACAACTTAGTCTGTTTCTTTAAATTTTCTTGGTGGGTGATTTCTCATCCAAGGAAATATCCCAATCTTGTGTTAATTTTTTATTTTGACAGAAATTGGGTGTTTAAGAATCATGTATGATGTCCAAGTGAGAAATCTGATTTTACTTCTGAGTTACTCCTTGCCTCCCTCCCCACATCCTGGAGTACTTAACTTTCACTGCAATGGCTAATTACTCTTATGGCATTTTCTTTATTTTTGATATGATTGCTATGAGATTTCTGGTTAATGAGACTTCTAGAAGACTGGTTCAGAGTCTAGTGGTACAGATGGATCCAAACTATGAAAAAGCTGTAAAGAAATGAGTGCTTCGTGTACATTAATGTATAAATTTAAGTCTTTTGAATGTTTCTGAGCTGCTTGAAGTAGCTGATACTGAGATTCTCTCTGACTTCTAGTGGGTGTTAAAGCAAGCCCAAATGTGTATTTTTTTGTTACAGAGTTATGCTTTATAATTTTGTAATAAAGTTTAAATATGATTGAAAAGGCCTGCTTTGCTATCTGGTGTGACATTGTACACATGAGCACCTCATAGCGGGAGTGGACAGAAGTTCAAATCAACCAACATTAAACTTTATGTGCAAGGCTCTGTATTCTGTACTTTGTACATCAGACTTTATAAATAGTGGTTCCTTACCCTTCAGTCTTCAGTTTTTCTGCTTCCAGTGAATATTTATAAATCAGAAGTTAAGTGCATGCAGTTTGCTGCTCACTTTAAAAAGGAATCCTGGTAGCTCCACAAATGTCCCAAAATAGGGGGTTAACTCTGAGGGGTCTGGGATTTGGATGGGAAGAAAATCACATCTTTATTTCTATAGAATTGGTTTCCTTTTTAAACCTTTATATTTTATTTTAGTCAACTAAAAACATTCTGAGAAGGACTCTATAGGTGTCACCAGACTGACAGCTAGAAGGGTCCAAGGCACAAAAAAGGTTCATTCTAATGAAACCTTCCTGACCATCTTCCTCTTCTTTTCCCCTTCTCCTAACTCCCTCCCCCCCGCCCCAAACCATGCTGCTTCAGGCTCATAATACAATGGTTTTAAGATCCCCCAGCCTAAAAGAGGCAAAAAGGGGTTGGGCCCAGACTCTTGGTTCTGAAGCCTGAATAAGTCTGAGCCTGAATAAGAAGTGACGCCACTTGTGTTGAGCATGTTAGGGAGTCAGGGAAGTTATGGGGCAGGCCTTTTTTGCAAATGGGAATTGAAGCTCAGGCTAGCAACAGCTTGGGGGATAGGGGAGCATAAACATACAAAAAAAAAAAACATACAGACATGCACATCCCTCCAAAAGGGGGACTGGTTTGAAAAGTCTCCTTAGAGCAGTGGTCAGTTACCTCTAGCCATGAGGGGAGCCCCCAAGGAGGATGTCAAGAAATACAAGGAACTTAATAAAGGGTGTGTGTGACAAAGATGCTTTCATGTGTGGGACAGCAGCTCTGACAGCCGCTTCTTCCAGTGACTTACTGGTAGTATGGCAGCAGCATGGGAGGAGAGTGGGAAGGGCGGCCCAGACTTAGGGAGTCAGAAATCCAAATTCTCACTCGTGACACTGTGTGACTACGGGCAAATCATCTAACCTCTCTGAGCCTTGGTTTCTTACCCTCTAAAATGGGAATAAGACTTCCACTATCCCCATCCAGGGTTTTCTTGGCAGAAATACTAGAGTGGTTTGCCATTCCCTTCTCCAGCTCATTTGACAGATGAAGAAACTGAGGCAAACAGGGTTAAGTGACTTGCCCAGGGTCACAAAGTTAGTGTCTGAGGCCACATTTGAACTTGGGAAGATAAGTGTTCCTGACTCGAGGCCCAGCCCTCCATCCCCTGACGCCATCCAGGTGCCCCACTATCCTCTTTGTAAATTATGAACGAGTAGATGCTAATAGCTCACATGTGGCATCGTGAAGTTTTCAAAGTATGTTCCATCTTGCAGTGCTGCAAGCATTATTATTCCCTGTTTCTAAATGATTTAGCTCAGTAAGGCACAGAGTGGTTGAGTATCACAGAACTAACCAACAGTTGCAGGTTGAAGCCAGAACTCCAGCTTTAGATGCTGGATTTTGAGAGCAGTTATTTTCCGTTCATGCTTCTTCCTCTCTATGTCCATACCTAAGCAAAGCTAGGTAAATTTGAACTTTTATCATGTGTCATAGTTCCTAAAGCAGAGGTGCTATGTTATGAGCTAGATACAGTGGGATCAGGGGAGGAGTGGAAGGCAGAATAGGAAAGCATACGATTCACTTAGTCCAGCATTCTTAGAACCACCAAGAAAAAGGTTTCCACTACAAGGCAGATAGTGTTACTGAGCTACACTGCTGTCCTTCATGAAACAATCTCGAAGTCCTCACATGGGGAATGACATAAGAAAGAATCCTAAGAGGAAAGCCTTGTGGCCAAAATGCCTTTTCTCCTGGGAGGAAACCGTGAAAGCAAAGGGCAGGCCTGTGGCAACCAGGACAACTTCCCCAGTGCACAGATGCAGGGGACCTCTAGCTTTTGGTGTAGAGGAAGAGAGCTGAATGCAGCTCTTGCCATTTGTAAGTTCTGTTACCATGGGCAGATCACAACCTCTTGGGCTAGACTTTGGTAAAATGGGGGGAATGGACTCAGATGACCTTTAAATTGTCTTCCAGCTCAAAACTGGTCCAGCTTCATGGGAAAGTTTGGCCTGTTTGAGCCAGAAACAAATGTACACGTCAATCTTTAGATGAAAAACATGACAGGTCTGGCTCTCTCCTCAGAGAGGGGAAGAAAAGGTAGATGGGCAAGAAAAATCCTTGCTGTGAGGGCTCTCAGTCTGACTGTTGTCATTGCCTTGGGATGCAGTGGCATGTAGTGACTAGCCTGTCCTGAGCACTTGCTGAGCTAGCCTGCACAGAGACAGAGGACAACAAGCCCCTGCCTCCCATTCTGAGACAGACTGACGGGAGCAGTCAGGCAGTGCAAAACACCTGTAACAAGTACCTTTAAAAAGAAGTGGAGGCAACAAAAAGCCCCTCAAAAGCGGAAAAATGGAGGGGCTGCACCTATTTGGCTTCTGTTTAGTGTTTGTATTTTAGTCTCTCAAGAATCCTGCATCTTCTAGTGTTATGAATTCCCTGGTATAAAAAAACTCCAACAGGTGAAGAAATTCCTTGGGATAAGCAGCTGTTCTGTAGTTTATCAACTTATCTGGGAGGTTCATGCTGTTATCCCCATTTTTACAGTTAAGGAAAGTGAAGCAGACGGGTTAAGTGACTTGTCCAGGGTCACACTGCTAGTCAGCATCTGAGACACTGTGGGGAATGGATTGGTAGAGGCTCATGGGGGGTAGTTCTACCATAAGAGAGGACAGAGTGCCAGAAAGATAAATTGGGCCACGGGCCCTCCCCAGTAGAGATGTGTTAAAGAACATAACAAAACATCTTTCGTAAAGAGTTTATTTTGCTAATCTTTAAAAACTGACGCCACCTGACAAAGAATGGGCCAGGCTACACACACTTGCATTTTCCCTTTTTTAAAAAGTACTTTGCAGGACAGTCTTTTTTAAATGCCTTTTAAAAATATTCAGTGGGGAATGATGAAAAAGGGCAGAAGCCATCCCTCCCCCTTTGAGTACAGAGTTCTACCTTGGCCCCTCCTCCACTTTCTCTCCTCTTCTGCCTGTCCAAGAGCACCAGGACAGGAAATGGGCAGAAGGGTGAAGCCATCGTCAAGATTGTATTTATAAAAATACCCAGGCTTTTCAGACAAAAACAAGAAGAAAAAGAAAAGACAAAACCAGCACCCAGATCTGAAAGGTCTCTGTAGAAAAACAAGAGAAGTGGATTTCACTCTTTCCTCTCTCTCATTCAGTGTCTGCCAATCCATTTCCTGCAGCTCTAGAGCAGGTGGGACAGGGGTCCACAATGGGCTTTGGAAGACAGGCTTGAGCAGCATATGAATGACCAGTGCAGCCGTCCCATCCCCAGGGCCTTGTAATGTCTGCCCCACAGGGGTGGACATGGTTGGGGAATAGTTGGACACAGGCCCTAGCATGGCGCCACCAATCTCCTTTTTCGGATACATGCCCAGATCCATTCAGGGGAAACCTGCTGTGCCTCAGGGTTCTTGTCCCCACTGCCCACCACATGTGTAGCTGAGACTGTGTCAAACTCCTGGACCAGATCTCCATTAAATGCCACGAAGTAGCGGCGGAGCTGGCTGAAATCCTGTGTGGAGGGCGGCAGATAAAGCCGCACACCCGTGAAAATGTCCAGCAGCATCTGCAAGTACAACACAGTCCAAGGCGGTAAAAGAAAAGGCATTATTGAGGATGTCCCCCGGGAGATGGGCCTGAAGCAGGGGCAGCAGGAGGCTGGTACGCAGCCCTCCATCAACACTAACAGTCTCAGAGAACAGCTACTCTCCTGTACCGTCAGGGAGTGGAAGGAGAGGAGGATGTCTGTGGCCAGGCTCCTCAGCTGTTAAGGGAAGTAGCCTTAAGTCTTCCCTGGAAATATTCTCATGCCTTAAGGAACACTACAAATTGCAGAGGAGAAAGAAACAACAGTGGCCCCAAGAGATCAATATGCAATAATCCTGGAAGGGGAGAGAAGGGTGACACCTGGCTGCCCCAGAAAGTTCAGAGACACAGGGCAGTGAGAAGGATGCAGCTTTGCCCAGACTCCCCTTACTCTCCCCTCGGCTAAGCCCCCTGCCTCACTGCATTTGTCAGGCAGCCTCAGACATCTCTGTCAGCCTTACCTAGGCCTTGGAGTGCCCAAAGGGGACACAAGAGGCTCCTGAGGATGGGGCAAGGAGAATGGTTCCCCAGAGAGCCGGGCTTCTGGGCTGGGGAGGGGGAGGATGGAGTGCCAGAGTCAGGGCTTGGGGGGGGTTCCCCACTCGGAACACTGCCTCCAACGTCACACACACCTACACATACAGAGTCACAGGCCTCTACCTAGTTGCACTTTAGCCCTTTAATGTCAATCACAGCTGGTTAAATGGCTGCTGAGCCTCTTGACTACGTGCCTGCCTGCCTGCGTGCGTGCACATCTCTCCTTCCTTTCTGCTCTCCAACCAGTCTCTTCTGCAAGGCAATGAGTGCATCCTGAGTTCTGGGATGGTTCTGTCCCACTGCACACACCCGTGACCAGGGCAAGAGTCCTGGCCTTTGGGAACCTACAAGTTTTTTCCTATTCTTCCTTCCAATTATGCATGTGTATGGAGGGAATGAGTAGGGGGCGTGTGATTGCCCCAAGTAGGGAAAGCAGAGAAAGCAGAAAGATGGTGGCTCCCTCACCTTGCTCCTCCCTTCCTAGAGGGCCCCACCCCCCTTCACCCCTGACCCTGGTCATCACCTTCTTTTGACTTGTGTCTTCCTCAGGTGCCTTCCTTTTTTCCCCTTTCCTCTCCTCCACTTTCCCAGGGGACGGTCTCATGGTTGGTTTGTTACCTGTAAGAGAGAGAGTGGGGAGGGTCACAGACAGGCTGGGTGAGGCCGGAAGGAGTCCCAGAGTTCTCATGTAGGGGTTCTTCCCCTTTTTTGCCCATTGGACCCCTTGGGCAGGCCAGTGAAGCCTACAGACTGTCTCGGAATCATGGAAAAACAATGCATAAAATAAAATAGAGCAGATTACAAGCATACCAAAAGTATTTAAAAAAAAAATTTCCAGAGCCTAGCTTAAGGTTAAGAACCTGGGCTCTAACAGGATGGAAAAGCCCCCTCCACTCAATCAGAAGGTCGAGAGCCTGACACTGTCCTCTTCATGGGCACACACAATCTGGCTCTCAGCTGTCGGGTAACAGAATCTTTCATGCAAATGTGCGCTAAGGAAGGGACAAGGAGTGTGGCTCAGCCTCCCCCAGGATCAGGCATTCATCCTATACTGCTAGGAACATAAATAAGGATGCCGAAAGATGCTGTCCTACTGTTATCTAATACCTATGCTGACCTCTGAGCTCCCCAGGGTAAAGGCCTGGGCCTTCTCTTGGCAGATCCTCAACCCAGGGGACAGCACAGGGCCCGGAGTCAGGAAGACCAAAGTCAAATCCAGCGTCATTATTAGCTGTGCCGCTCTCGGCAAGTCACTTAACCTCAGTCAGCCCATTTTTATCCTCACAACAAGCCTGGGAGGTAGGTGATGTTACTATTCCCATTTTACAGAGGAGCAATGAGATATTCATGAAGTGTTTTGCTATATAAATGCTAGGTATTGTTCCTACAATTAGTGCTTAGCCTTCAGGCGAGGCTTCAGCATCATCTCCCCTTCCCTCGGCAGCCATCTTACCCACTTTACCAGGGGGGCCGTTCGTCTTTCTTTCTGCCTTTTTGGCCTGGGCAGCGGGCTTGCTGGGGGATGCTTGCGAGGCTCTTCGAGGGGTGGAAGGGCCTGAGCTGCCCTCATTTTCTCCACTGCTGCCACTAGTCACAGAACTCCCCTCATCTGCAGGCACCACAGTGAAGTCAGCTTTTTCCTTGGAAAGCTGGTACAGCTCCTGAGGAGAGAGGACACCCCCCAAGGCTACTGAGCAAAGTGTAACACCCTCTATGTCACCACCTGCCATCAGGGCCAGGAAAACAGTGTGGGAGCCAGCCTTCTTGGTACCTGTCTGTTAGGGAGCGCCTCTCTAAATGGAGAGGACCCCAGCTTTCCTCCCAACTCAGAAAGAGCCTACATCACTCCAAGCAACGATGCCCTGTCCATGGGGGTGCAAGGCAGATATTCAGGTACCCAGGAGAGAGGAAATAGCATTGGGGTGGTGGTGGAGAAGAGCACTGAACTGGCAGCCAGAAGAGCAGGGCTTCCCTCCCTCCTCTGCCTTTCTGCTACTTCTCCAGTCCATGCCTCAGTTGCCTCATCTACAAAGTGCAGTGGTTGTACTAGGTTATCTCGGGATCAGAGGAGCTCACAACCAATCTAACCCAACCTATTCACGAACAAGAACCTCCTCCCAGTACCACAGCGTGTTCAGCAGTGGCCCGATCCGTGTTGGGAAAGCTCAGATGGTTAGACAGTGTTTGCCGCCAGGCAGAATCTGCTTGTGTTCCCTTGGGCCACTGCTCCTGGCGTGGTTCTGGGCACCAGTTCCCTTCCAATATCTGGGCACAGCTGCCCTGCTTCAGCCCCCTCTGCCCCAGGCCTATTTTTAAGGCCTCCTACAGCTGCTTTTCTTCGTAGGCCAGTGTTCTCTGCCCCCCCCCCCCCCCCAGTCCCTTACAGCCCTCTAGGAAGGGAGGAGCAAGGTGAGGGAGCCACCATCTTTCTGCTTTCTCTGCTTTCCCTACTGGGATTCTCTTAAACTTCATATACCTCAAACAAAAGGAGGGTCATCCTAGAGAGGCACAAAAAGAATCTCTGGAGACTCAAGAAACAAAGGGCAGGCTCCCATGCTAATGCCCTCATATGTAAAGGGACTAAGGAAAGCAGCCGAGGCTGCGTTTTACGGGACAAGGCTGGAATTGGGCCCTGTCCGTTCCAATTATAAGCTCACCAGATGGAACAGGGGCACCAGGTAGCCCAAGTACCTTAAGCTGTGGGAGGGTGGTAGCAGACTTCCAATCTTTATCATCACGAATTCTGGTACAGCGGGGGAAACGGATAGAGATGCCATCGGCTGTATGGGCCTCAGCCTTGGAGAATTCTGCCCCTGTGATCTCCCAAACAGGAGCTTTCTGCAGAGGGGGAGGGAATTAGCGGGGGAAGAAGTCATCTTCAGGCCGAAGGGGGAGGAGCCAGGGAGGGGTTGGGAAGAGGAGAGCTGTACCTTTGGATCTGGGACAATGAAATCGGGGTAGTAGTTCTTGTTGATCTTCAGCCAGCTGGGAATCTTACTGGGATCCTTGGGGGTCAAGATGAAAGATGCCGATTACCAGGAGTTCATCCTCTCTGTGATTTACCATTTGATTTGGGAATAAATTCAAGTGAGGAGGTAGTGGAGTAAGGGGAGCCTTACATCTTACGCTTTCTGAGTCTCAGCCTGCTGTCTGTAAAATGGAGGTAATACCTCATAGGGTTGTTAAGCCTCAGGTAGGATTGTATGAGCCAGGGTCAAGGCAGGAGGCGCAAAGGTATGTAACTCACAGGGAGAGATTCACACCTCCTCCAGCCTTCTTTGACCTCTCCCAATCTGGTACGGCACCCTCTTACAGAGTACTGCTAGGAAACAGAAGCTAACATCTGAACTGTCCTGGGGCAGACGGAACCTCTCCTCTTAGTCAAACAATAGTTTCCCATGACAGTGGGACTAATCAGTAACATCTCTGGCCCTTACGGTTCTTTTAGTCATTCCTTCCTAGAAGGCCAGTCAGTGACCTGGTCTAATGCTGCTTGAGACCATGTTCCCCTCCCTACCTTGCTGATCTTCACCATGTCTAGCTCATTCTGCAGGCGAGCAAGGGTGGCATCATCGTGGCCTCCGGCACACTTGGTGACTGTGCACCACTTCTGGCTGCTGGGGTCATAGCAGCCCATCAGGAAGATGGACATCATGCCACCTGTGTGGAAAGAGAAGAAGGATGGGAGCACGGGGGGGATAGCCTTGAGAGATTGCCAGAAAGTGTTTTAACCAAGCACATCCAATCAGGCAGATCAGTTTACTCTGTGAGTCCTTAGAAGCAACTCCCCATCTCTTCCCAAGGCCTAGATTTCCCTTCTGAGTGAAGAAATGAGCTTCTCTTCCAGTAGGACAGGGTGCTGACTTTGAAAAGTACAGGGGGTACTTAGTCTCTAAGGGAAGGATTACCTAGACACAAGGAACTCTCCTAACTATTCCTCCATTCTGATGAGGCTGCAGCTCTCAGAGCTACCCATGCAAGGGGAACGTGGCCCCGGCAGAAGCATCAAACATCAGGGTTCAGCACGTTGCAACTAGTGACTCTGGTGGGCCAGGAAACAGCCCTCATTCCAGTCAAGCCCCCTCGCCACAGGGCCTCCGGCGTGGTATGCACTAACCTTTGTTCCCTTGCCCGTAGAAAGCCCCAAGGACCACCAGGTCTGCTGTGTCTGCCATGGCCCCCTCATTCAGGTAGTCCTTCTTCACTTTCAGCCAGTGCCGCTTCCCTGGCTCATAGGTGCCCTGAGAAAGAACAGGGCAATTCAGAATGCTGTGGTCCATATACCAGGCAAAGGAGAGTCTCCAGAGATGCCTGATGAAGATCTACTGGGCTCCATGATGGGCCCGTACCACATACATAAAAGCTTCCCTAGAGGCTCTGTTACCTACGATTCCAGCACCTTTCTATAGTGCTTTACAGTCAGCACAATGTGCTGACATACATTCCTACCTGAGGCTTAACAACCCTATGAGGTATTACCTCCATTTTACAGACAGCAGACTGAGACTCAGAAAGCGTAAGAGATGTATAGTCCCTAGGAGCTTGCTCCCACATGCCACTCCCAGGCAGGAGAGATGGGGGCAGGGCTCACAGGCACCTGAAGGAACCAGGAATGTCTAGCAGAAAGCAGCACCTCACCTTCACATCTTTTAGCACCAAGCCTTCCAGCCCTTCCCGGATGACACGGTTGATCATATCCGCCAAGTCTGATGCTTTCTGGGGGACAGAACAGGAATATTCATGCTGCATCAGTTTGTGGGCAGAGAATGGTCGCTTCCTCTCTAATTTGAGAACACTGAATTAAAAAGTCCCCTGCCTTGTCCCCCAGCTCTCCTATTTTTCTGGCATCCAAACTAACCAGATGCCTATAGGGAGTTTGGAAGTCACAGTTCATACCTTTGAGCCACCTTCCTTCTTAAACGAGAAAATATAAACCAACGGTTCAGGAACCAAAACAGAATAGGATAAAACAATAATAACCTCACAGGTCATTTAGAAGGAGCTACCACACTGTCTATCAAGTCAAATATATTTAAGGGCCAACTGCGTCCTGTGCAAGGCTGTACTCAACTGTGACGTGCTTCATTTCAGAGAAGAGGATCCGATTGGGGATTTCAACCATGTTGTCGTGGAGAAACTTCCTCCGTTCACACAATGGTCTGTAGGAGGCAGAAGAGAGGGGGTCAGGCCAGCCTTCAGAATACAGTCGTTAACCTGCAGACTGCTCTGGATAGGACCCAATGAAAGAAAGGGAATAGCCAAATCAAGATGGCACGTTAGCATAGCTGCTTATTAAAAAGGCAGGCCCCATTCTGTAGATGGATTGATCATATACTGCAAAGGTTAAATCTAGCCAATGATGCTCATGGCAGCAGAGCTCCAAACTTCCCAGAGATGGAAAGAATGAGATCATATGTCATATTTGTCTCTAAAAGTTAAAGATCTGGCCTCTTTCCCAAACAGGCTTTAAAAACACAAACACAGGTGGCGCAGTGGATAGAGCACCGGCCCTGAAGTCAGGAGGACCTGAGTTCAAATCCGGCCTCAGACCAAACACTTGACACTTAACTAGCTGTGTGACCTTGGGCAAGTCACTTAACCCCGATTGCCTCACCAAAAAAAAAAGAGAGAGAGGAAAAAAACACACACGTACATACAAAATTCTGGCATAAACTTGAAAATGATCCTGAAGTTTACTTCTCACCCCAGGACAGAGATCAAACGGCTCCATAGCAGGCCAGGGGACTGAATCAGGCAAAAGGCATTATACCTAAATGCCTATGAACTGAAAGACTCATTTGGTAAGCCTAAAGTCCTTGGTCCAAGGATATGGAGAGGGCCCAGTCTGGTCTCTGCATCCTAAGCATCTTCTCCTGCCAACAATCACAGCAGGCTATATTTAGATACCACTTAAAGGTTACAAACCCTATTTCTCCTAACCACAATTTAGGCAGTGTTAAGTGTTATCACAATCTCATTTTATAGATAAAGAAAACTGAAACTTAACCAAGTGACTACCCAAGGCCACAAAGGGTTTTGAGAACCAGGACTTGAACCCAGTGTTTCAAAGCCAATGCTTTTTCTACTATATCTTGTTGCCTCTCCTGAGGTTACTTTACATGCATGTGACGTGTCCTATGAACTCCTAAATCAAGAGCATTATGTCTGTGATTCCTGTGAATCCTTACTCTGATGAACTGCCCACCTCAAGCCCTCGATGTGATTACCAAAACACCTCCATTACTCTGTGCTCACTTCTTTGAGGCAGAGAAATCAATCTGACAACTCTCTGAGTTGGGTTTGGCTTTTGATAGACAAGTTTCACCAAACCCCCAGGAGGGGAAATCTGGCTCTCTCCATCAAGCTCAGTGAGTGTGGTTATGCATGCCTCTCTCTGGGCTCCAGGTTCCCCCCATCGGCCCTTGGTTCTAAAAGTCCAATCCCTCTCTAGTGGCTTCAGAACTAAAGCTGGACCCGAGTTTCAGAATTCCTGTCATCATGCCCACCTGTCCATCAGGCTGACGTCATTGAAGTAGATGCAGTCAAATACAAATAAGCACACGTTGGCATCCTGGAAAGCAGCTTTCTGAAAAGGGAATTCAACATGACATGAGGCTGACAGGCTCTCTAGCCAGCCAACCCATTATAGAACATGGGTGACCAACATCTGGGAGCCAGGAGGTATTACTAGGTGTCCACAGGGAAGCCCCTGGAAAGGCCAGTTGTTTTTTTTTTTTTTTTGGTTAGGCAATGGGATTAAGTGACTTGCCCAGGGTCACACAGCTGGTAAGTGTTATGTGTCTGAGGCCGGGTTTGAACTCAGGTCCTCCTGAATCCAGGGCCGGTACTCTATCCACTGTGCCACCTAGCTGCCCCTGAAAGGCCAGTTTATGCTTTGGAAAACCACTGCCAAAGGTTATCAACTAATCCCAGCCACACATGTCCCACTGAGCTGATGTTGAAAAAATTCTCTACTGCCAACATTTGCTTCCTTTTTTCAGAGAAAAGCTAAGAGATCATTATTTATGAACTGAGGGATGACTTTGGAACCATTTTATCAGCAAAAATGAAACCCCACTCAAAACAAAAATACTTCACCCCCAAATTCAAGCCAGTAGAATACACTTGTGCAAGTGCACACATACGCATATGCACGCACACGCGCGCGCGCACACACACACACACACACAAAATCTCCCACACTGTACCTTATGCACACCCAGAGTCCCAAAAGGCAAAGGTCTGCTTGTTTTGGTGTCGATCAGAAGGACCTCAGCATCTAGGATCATGCTCTGGCCCCCTGGGAATGCCTGGGGGATGTAGTCCTTAAAATGGGCCACCTGGAGGCGGAAAGGGAGCTTAGCTCAGGGGGTTGTAGGGAAAACATGAGCCAGTCATAGGCAGGCTCCCTCAGGAATGGAGGGTTTATGGGAAGGAGAAATTTTCATGAAGAGAGAAGAAAACAATTAATAAATGGAAGCCAATGTTTGTTTATACTTTACCTGAATCAGACATTTTAAAATGTCTGATTTTAGTCATTTATGTGCAGTCAGTATTCTGTCCAATTCTCGAGCGGGTGTCTATGTTTAGTCTCCAGATGAAAGACATAATAAGCATCATTGAGCACCCAGGGGAAGGGAAAGCCAAAGAGAGAGAGAGAAGACATTCCAAAGGCTTTGGGCTTGTGTACATGTATAATCGTGCGTGTGAGCAGGGAAGAAAAACAGATTATGTAAGTGTGAAATAAGAAAGGGGGTGTCTAATTCAAGGATGAGGCCGAGTATGGCCAGATGGGATAAGAAAGAAGACAGAAGGTAGCCTCTGCACAAGCAGAGCTATACCCATGACGGATGGGCCCTAAACCTGGGCTTCTACCTCCCTGCTGAAGCTACGCATGGATATCAAGATGGAAGTGCTCAGCCGTGCTGGCCTACTCTGGCCAAGGTCCTTGTAATCAGTCCCAAGGACTATATCCAGAAAGAACCTGTGTGCTCCAGGCCCTCTAGGAATCCTGGGCTGACACTATGAAACAGGCAGCAAGCATGTGAACACCCTCCTCATTACATGAAAAAATGATGGCATCAGATAGCTGAGAAATGAATACACACTCTGAGGGAGAAGATAAGAGAAGAGTGCTTTCATCTGGAGATGCTGGGTTCGCCCTTCTCCATTCTGGGTCATGTGAGGTCCCCATTTCACACCAGGCTCCCTGTGGAAAGTTCTCCGTTTGTGTCATTGGGTCACATCAAACAATCTTATCTAAACTAACAACACCTGCCAGAAGAGCCCTCGGCCCCCTCTGGAGCTTCGATTCCACTATGCTCGGGACAGCTAGCGACGAGGCCGCGCAAAGCCGCAGCCCTCAGTTCTGACAGTGCTGTCCTGACTGGGCCAAGTGAAGTGGCTTCCGAGGAATCGAAGGGCTGCTTACTTTGTGAGGCAGGACAGGCTTGAGGCTTCGGCTGAAGTAGCTGAACTGACTGCCCGCCTTGTGCACCTGCACCCGCTCCCCATCATACTTGATCTCGGAGAACATCCCGTTGGGACACTTCTTCATCGCATACTCAATGGACTTGCAGGCCTCGGCCTGGGGGGAGGAAGAAGCAGACAGTCAGAAGGAGACAGGATCAAAGGACCCAGGGGCTTCCACACAGGTCTCCACGCTATCTCAGCTTGTGGATTCCCGAATATGGGGTAAGGACAGCCCGGAGGGCTGAGGGTGGGATAGTACCAGTACGGTCAGGGAAAGAGCTATCTTGATTAATATTTCTGTGTGGCTACTTTCAGTCACCAATAGAGACTACAAGCCCCTCTATATCTCAGTATATTTGCTGTGACAAAAAAAAAGTCACCCCCAAGTGGCTAACCCACCAAGCGTGGTAAGCGCCACTGCATGGAGTGCGACTAGTGCTTCAGATGACAGAGACCATCCCTCCGGCTTGGCAGGACCTCCATGAACTTAGGGTCACCTTGATGCCACAAAGAGGCACTGGGGCTTGACTTTATTTACTCCAGCAGAGTCACTGTCTATTTTTTACATAAATGACCAGTTTTCAAGGAACTACAACACAAGGTATACTTACAGTCACAGGGAATGCCATTTAATCATTTTTAATATACCAGAATGTACTCAAAAAGTACTTTAAAAATCTTGCAGGCTCCAAGGTCGCTGTTATGAACATCAGCTTGCCGTGTGACCTGTGCACCCTGGTGAATGGCTCTGCCTCCGGGATAACAACAGTCCCCCTCTTTGTAAGCTGACAGTGTAGTGGAAAGTCAATGGATTGGGGTTCCAACAAGCTGGGTCTTCTGGGTGACCTTGGGCTGTTCTCACTTCTAAAACAAGGGGGTCAGATCGGCCGAGATGAGGTGACTTTCTCCTTTCTCCCAAAACAGGCTTCTAGTTACATGAACGCATCTGTGGTAACACTCGTGTCTAACTGACCCACCATGTGGTTACTCAACTGGCAGAAAGCTGCATAGGTCTTTGAAATTGCAAAGCCCCTAGACTGCCTGAAATTCCTGAAGGGAAAGCACGGATGGCCCTACATCACAACTGGGAACATCTCAGATGCTAGCCCCATGATTCAGATTCTACATGCCACCTGCCAACTCTGCCTCCCACACTTCTGGGAGGTAGGGAGCACTGTTTCCATGTTAAAGCTGGGGACAGCAGGCTGGGGGATAAGACCTGGCTAATAAGACCATCACAGAAAAAGCCTCCTGGCCTTCCAGGTCCAGCATCCCTTTCTCTCTCCATCTTACTTAAGCACATATTCCCTACCCCAAGCAGAAAGACCCGGGCCATGGAGAAGTCCAATGCAGAAAAAGGAAAAACAAAATAACCCTAAATGTCTAACAAGGCCAGAGAAACCTCTTCAGTGATTCAGGAAAATCAGACAGTGCTCAAGAGCCTTTTATGGCATGTGCTTGGGGTTCTGCTAAGTCTGTAAGACTTCCTGGTAGTGAATTAATGCAATGGGAAAGGCACGAGACTAGAAAGATAAATCTCATTTCCCATGAAATGAGCAGATGCTGCAAATAACCTCTGTGGAAGCAAGACCCTCGTGTCAAACTTCCTGAAAGAAAAGGGAACCTTAGATATCGTGGTGTTGGGGGCACAGATCTGTCTCTGATCTGTGAGAACCCCAGGCAAAGCAGGAACCCTGGGGCTACAAATGAACCTCCAGGGCCCCTTGGTCCATCCCTACTTTGACCTGGGCTCCTGGATGGGTGCTTGAGAGCATCCCAGAGAACCAGGCTTGGAAGAGACCTCCCCAAATATTCAGTCCAAGCCCTCATTTCACAGAGGAGGAACAGGAAGCCTAAGAGAGAGCAAGGATTTGTCCCTGATCACACATATAATCAGTGCAGGGCAATGACTAACATCCAAGTCTCCTGGTCCCATCTCCAAGGCTCAGTCACCTTTTTGGTCTCCCTCAACTGTCAAATGGGAAAGTCACTCTTGTCCCCCTCTCACTGTCTCTTTTAGTCTCCATGGATGTAAGGTCATGGACCTTTAAACTGCTCTAAGTGTCTTGGAGACAAAACAAGGGGGAAGCGGCAGGGTCTGGGCAGGAGAGAGACCAGAAGTGCCAAGGGAAGAGAGCTTTCCTCACCAGCATGGGCTGCACAGGGGTCATGAGAGCTGCCTGGACGCTGAGTGCCCGCTTCATGCCCGGTGCCTTCTTGGACTCTTGCTGGTTCGCTAGGACACGCTCTACCACATCCTGGAGGTTCCTTGAGGCCTTGAAAGCTTCATAGGCATTAGGGTCCAGGGCATCTAACCTGCCCAAAGAAGGGGAGACAAAGATCCCCAAAGCAGTTACTTCCAGGAATGAGAGCTGGCATCCTGGAGTAACACCACCACATCTCAAGCAACTGTGGATCACTCCCTCTGGTAACAGAGTTCACACCACAACGCTCAGAGGAGGTGGCCCTGGGTAAATGTGACTTGTCCAAGGGCAGGGCATGGCGGCCCAAGCTCACTCCATGCTGCTGCCTTCATGGCGCCCACCAGGTAGAGAACCTGATACTTACACGTGCTTGGCACCCGAATTCATCTTGAGGTCATGTTTGATGAGTCTGATGATACACTTCAGGTCGTTGGCAGTACACCTGAGGGAAAGAAGGAGGAAAACTTATTTCTCCCTCTCTGTAGTGCCAAGTTTTAAAAGGGTGAATTCCCTTGTGACATCAGCTCTCAGTCTTGGTCCCTCCCCGGCTGGCAGGCCACCACACTGGGCTGGTTCCTCACCTGGAGGCAATGCTCTGTAGCACATTTTGCTGCTCGTCCTCTTTTGTGAGTTTGGACAACTGAAGAAGGAACTCATCTACTTCTTGTATAGTGAGGAGGCTCTTGGCTGCCGGGGGGAAGGATCGGCTCTGCTCGAAGAACACACGCACTGTCTCTGACACGTCTCCCTGTCTCCAGAAACCAAAATGCCACCAACACAGTTCACTGACGAGGCCAAGAAATGGCAGAAATCTGCAGCCATCACCCCAAATTCTCCAAGTAAAAGGCCTCTCCGGGACAAGTCACCCCGCCCCCAAGTTAACGTACATAACTGTCTGTCTGTCCCTCTCCCTGCATACTGACCTGCTCCAAGTCCCGGATCATGTCGTCCTGACTGCACTTAAAAATCCGACTGAAAAGCTTCACAATCTGTTTGTCATTCAGGTTGTAAACACTTTTAATGACACCTGGCAGGAGTAGCTTCACTGTCAGGTACACATCACCATGGAAACCATCTGGAGATAGGAAAAAAGGAATTCCTCATGAGAAATGGAACTTACTTCAAAAAAGAAAAAGAAAAACGGGAGACCTCAAGGGTTAAGGCACAGATCTAGGAAGATGGCAGATTCTAAGACAGAGTGGGTGTCACATGCTTTGGGATTCTGAGCAAGTCACATGGCAATCCCTTTGGGTTTCTTCAGTCACCACCACAATGGGAGAGGATTCTCCAGCTTGCAAGGACAGAAGGGAGATGACCGGTGAACTCTTCAGACAGAAGGCAAAGTAGCTGGGCTAAAGTGGGTCAGGTCTCATACCGCCGCCTGATCCTTTCTGCAGGAAGTCATGGATGATCTGGGTCTTCACATTGTAGCTGGGCTTGTCGGCCACCATAGCACACAGCTTCCGAAACTCCCGAAGCAAGCAGTCCTTATGCTTTGGGTCACACCTCTCAGCTGACAGGGTGGGTTTGGCTGTGAGTTTTGAGAGGGGCTCCTCAGAGGTGCTTGGCTTAGCTGTTGGGCAAATGTCAAGAAAAGGAAGCAAGAAGAAAAGATTACTGCCTCCCCCTCTCTAAGACTGACCTACAGCGCCCAGGCACATTCAAGAATTGAAATATTTGTGAAATCCCTTCTACATGCTAGGCACTGAGAGATGTAAAAAATTAAATATGATATCATCCCTTCCCTCAAGAGGCTTATCACCTACTAGGGGATATAAAACATAGACAGCTCAAATTACAAAATTAGACCTGAGGGCATTAAAAAAGGTTTAAAAAAAAAGTGTCATGAGAGACCTAAGGTAGGGATATATTATTCCTGGCTGGGGGAGAGATTAGAATGCAGGAGGTAGCACTGGAGGGGTCTTTAAAAAGTAAGATTTCAATAAGCAGAAGAGAACGGAGGAATGGGCAAAGGAGAGAAGGTAGAAGAAACAGCATTCTAGATCAAGGTGATGTCAGTAAAGCAAGGGTAGGTGGAAAGATTGGGGAGGGGGCGATAAGTGGCAAGGTTCCTATTCCTATGCACACTGGAGAGGTAGGGCGGCTTCAGACTACAGGGAGCTTTGAATACTTAAAGACTTAATAGCTGAATGGAAATGGGAGGAGAGGGATTAGGTTAAAAGTGAAGAGAACACTAGGACTGAAAAGATGAGACACTGTGCTAGGTGAAAAGATCCCTCCCCAACTTACTATACTTTCATAATGGATAAAGGATGGTCAATAAACAGGATTTTCTGCCAGATCCTTTAAGAATTTCCAAACCAAATTATTAAGTGTTTTCCTTTTTCCCTTCTCACTTCCATTTGCAAAGCAAATTTAATCTTCTGTGCGGGTAGCAACGTCATTAGCAAATCTGCTACTGATGCAAGCTGTCCTCTTGTCTAATTTTTCACAAATTCTTAATCCATCCTTATCTGCAATCCAAAGGCAACTGTTCTAAAGAGCATCCCTCAAGGGAACAGGGTAATCTGAGAAACAAACTTTAAGGCCAATGCTCAGATGCTCAGCTATGTTTCAGGGTAAATGGGACCTCCTAAGTATAAACACTAAGTTTATCTTATTTTCTGGCATTTCTAGTCTTCATCAGCACCACCTTCTCTCCTCTGAAATTCTATCATGGCCCACCCTTCACTGAAGCACAGCTAAAAATACCATTACAAAGCTGGCTTTTGTCTAAAACAGGCTATCTCTTGAAGCTGTAATTGTACTTTACTGATCTCCTTGTAAGGAAGTAATAGGGTCACAGAATTTAAATCTAGAAACCATCTAGGTGGACCGTGAGGAGGCCCTGAGAGGCCTAATGGATTATATAAAGCCACACAGGGAGTAAAGAGCAGAGTTGGGCTTTGAATTTAGGTCTTCTGACTCTAATCTTGAACTCTTTTCACTATACCACATAGACTTTCCCTAGTCTCTGTAACATACTTTAACACAAACTTCTCTGATTATATGCTGTTTACAATGTAGATAAGAAAAGAGCAGAAGAGAAATTTATAATTTTTTGTCTTATTGACAAATAAAAACCATCCTTCAACTCTACTTTGCCTCCTTAAATATTCAGGTTCTTACAGAAAGTCATCAGATGGCCTAGGAGTAGCCGATTTCAACTATATTACAAAGTGGTAATTACCAAAACAATCTGGTACTTGATCAGTGAGATAGATTAGGTACATAATATATTACTGTAAATGACCACAGTAATCTAATATCTGATAAACCCACAGATCCCAGCTTCGGAAGTAAGAATTCACTATTAGATAAAAATTGCTGGGAAAATTGAAAAGCAGTCTGGCAGAATCTAGTCATAGACCAACATCTCACACCATATACCAAGGTAAGTTAAAAATAGGTGCCCTATTTAGATAAAGGGTAATATTAGGGAAGCATAGAAATTCACTTATCAGATCTATGGATAAGGGAAGAGTTTATGACCAAAAAAGAGACAAAGAGGATCATGGAAAGTAAAATGGATAATTTTAATTACATGAAATGAGAAAATTTTTGCACAAGCAAAATCAATGCGGCCAAAATAGAAGGAAAGCAGGAAACTGGGGGGGAAATTTATAGCAGATTTCTCTGATAAGGCCTCATTTCTCAAATATATGTAATGAACTGAGCCAAATTTATAAAAATAAGAGCTATTCCCCAATTGATAAATGGTCAGAGGATACGAATAGGCAGTTTCAGCTTAAGAAAGCAAAGTTATCAACAGTCATATAAAAATGCTCTAAATCACTAATAGACAAATAGAAATTAAAACAACTCTGAGATACCACCTCATACCTATCAGACTGGCTAATGACAGAAAAGGAAAATGACAAATGCTGGAAGAGATGTGGAAAAATAAGAGACACTAATGCACTATTGGTAGAGCTGTGAACTAGTCCAACCAGTCTGGAAAATAATTGGGAACTATGCCTAAAGAGCCATAAAACTATGCATACCCTCTGACCCAGCAATACCACTACTAAAGTCTGAATCTCAAAAAGATCAAAGAAAAAGGAAAAGGACCCATATGTGGAAAAATATTTATAGCAGCTCTTTATGTGGTGGCAAAGAACTGGAAATCGAAGGGGTGCCCATTAATTGGGGAATAGCTGAATAAGTTGTGACATGACTGTGAGGGAATATTATTGTACTATAAGAAATGATGAAGAAAAGCAGGTAGGTGGCGAAGTGGATAGAACATCAACTCTGAAGTCAGGAGGACCTGAGTTCAAATCCTGCCTCAGACCAGACACTTGACACTTACTAGATGTGTGACCCCGGGCAAGTCACTTAACCCTGACTGCCTCACCGAAAAGAAAAAAAAAAGAAAGAAAAGAAAAGAAAAGATGAGGGGAATGGTTTCAGAAAAACCTGGGAAGACTTATTTGAACTGATGCAAAGTTAAGTGAGCTAAACTTGGAAAACACCGTACATGGTAACAGCAATATTATAAGGATGATAAACTGTGGAAGACCTGACTACTCTAATGAAGATGATGAATGGCAACAATTCCAATGGACCCCTGATGAAAAATGCTATCCTCCTCCAGAGAAAGAACTGATGAATTCTCAGTGCAGATTGAAGCATACTTTTTTCACTTACTTTATTTTTATTGCTTCCCCCCCCCACATGACTAATATGTTTTGCATGACTTCACAAGTATAACATATGTTAACAGATTGCCTTCTTGATGGGTAGTGAGGGGGCTTAGGGGAGAAAGATAATTTGGAATTCAAAATTTTAAAACATGAATGTTAAAAATAAATAAAAATAATAAAGAGAAAGTAATTTAAAAAACAACAAAAATCAAAAAGCCATTAGGCAAGAAATAGTAGAAGTAGGAAGAGAGAGAGGGTAGTGTAGTGCAGTCAATTTTCAGGTGTCTCCAGGTCCTAATGGTGAGGAATATGATTTCTAGTAATGCATTAATTAGAACAAAACTGCAGTACAACAAATAATTTCAAAGTTATATACCAGCCATAGTAAAGGAATTTAACAACTTGCTTAGGTCTGAACTTTTCAGCAAGTTACAAATTCACAGGCAAAAGGACTGACAGAGAAAGATTCTCACTAGGCCCTCATTCCACGCCACAGCTGAAGCACCAAAAGCTTCCTGATGTCTGCAAACGTGGAGATCAGCAGCAGTCCACCCCTGCTGGAGAGGGGCCAAGCTACACTATGGAGCACTGAGCACATCTGTCTTCTAAAGCCCAAGCTCCAGATAACAGCATGAAATAAGAAGAAACTACCCAGCCTGAAACCCCAAGGCCACTATTTTACCTGTGAAACCGGAGAATTTCCGGGGATTGGTGTTAGAGACTGAGGAGGCTCCTTTGTGTGGAGAAATCACCTGGCCGGTGGGTGTCAGCTTGGCCTGGACTGTGGCTTTCTTCGCTGGTGTGCTTGCCACCTTTGAAGAGAGCGCTACAAGGCACAAACAGGAAAGCCATTAGGAGAGGGGATAAAGTATACACTGAGGGTCATTATCAATAGGTCAAGTTGACAGTCAGACTTTATTTATTCAAGTTCCAAGCCAACTGCCAGCACCACACACAGCTTCTTCCATCTTTGAGAAATTCCCAAGGGAGACAGAAATTCAATGGGCAGCTGTACTGATGCTCTCCCACCAACAAGTAGGTCTCCAGCATTCCTCACTCCAGCACTGATTTTAAGATCGCAGGCAAATTAAGAGTGGCTCCTTAGGAATCCCTGACCCAGAAAAACATCTCCATTTTATAAGTGGGCAAACTGATGGCAGAGAGAGGGCTTGTAACCTGAAGGTCATATAGTAAGAGTTTTTCCCTCCCAGAGCAGTGAATTCACTGAAGTGGGTGAACTTTGGGTGAGGTAATTCTCTCCTCCAAAGCTAATAAGCAACTCCAACGGCGTTTTATAAGCTGAGAGTTGCCTGAAGCACTAAGAAGTTAAGTGATTTGTCCAGCGACACAGTGAGTCCAGGTTAGAGACACAACCTTATCCCAGGTCTCCAGGACTCTGAGGCCACTATCCACTATGCTTTACTGCCGCTCTATAAACAGTAAGTTAAAATAGCAGAAAGAGATGGAGAATTCCCAGTGGCTGAATACATCAAACTAGATCACAAGGAAAGGCTAAGACTGATGCCCTTATGTGGAAGAGGAGGGGTATCGCCTATCCTGGAAGACCCGCTTCTTCCTAAGGCACACAGACAGGTTTGGTGGCCATTCTACTGTAAGCTGTTATAGCAGCCACTTCCCCCAGTGACGGCAACTGTCTTCATTTAAGAAAATGAAGCCCTCATCCCCCTGCCCAGTACCGCCAGGGGGCCCATGGATACTTCCCAGTGCCTCACCTGCAATGTGCTCATTGATCTGATCCTTCTCTGTGTCCTGCAGCTCTTCCCAGCCCTCAAGATCTGTCAGGTCCTCAATCTTCTTGGTGGTCGCCCGGGCTCGTTCCAGCTTCTCAAACATGCACTTGATATGGTACCATTCCTTCATGTCACCCCCAGATTCTGAGAAGGGGTTGGGGACCACTTTGCCTATTCGGCACACACCTTTCACTATCTTCTCCTTGCATTTCTTGCAGCCAGCTGTGCTGCGCTTGGCATAGTCCACACAGAATCGCTGTTCAGCCATCTCAGAAGCGCTAGTGCAGAATCCCACATGTGACACTGGCAGGAAGGCAAAACGGGCGGTACATGGTCCTGGGATGCCCCCCTTGAACCAGAGACAAGGCCTCTTCTTCACAGGGAGCCAGGACCCCTGAAAACGTCCAGCTCCTGACACACTGGAGAACGGGTTACTTAACTGCCAATGTAATGGCTCTTGGAGCAAATGTAGTACTTCTCTTCGGCCAAGAACTCTGCAAGTCTGCTGGAAGAGGATAGCTGAGGCCAACGGCATACAGCTGCATGACAGGCAGAAATAAAGGGAGGGATGAGAACCCTGACCGCCTTACTTGCAGCAGTCCAGAGTTGTAGAAACAAGGCTGAATAATCAAACAATTTCCAAATGTAATCCACTCCTACTCAAACAGTACTAAATGGAGCTAGAGGGAGTCAGGTCATCCGGCTTACTTGATCCACTACAAATTTATATTATCTAATCTCTACTGAACCCAGCTGCAGGAAGACAACTCCTCTCCAACTGATTTTCTGTCCCATTGCCCACAGTGACTGTTCCCAAACTCTCTCCTTAAGCTCCCATGCTGCTCAGGATCTCAACTTCATTCTTTACTGAGGAAACAGGAGCCATTCTCTAGGAGCTCTCTTCTCCCAGTATCTACATCTCATAATCCCTTGACCTCATCTTTCATTATCTCCTTCTTTACTCTATAGTCTCTGAGAAGAAGGTGGCATCACCAAGGTGGGAGCCCATCCCCTTCCGTCTAATAACTGCCCTCACAATCATTCCCTCTAGTCTCTAATCTTCAATCTAGTTATTATCCTCCATCTCTCCTCCCTTTATCAGCCAAAGTCCTAGAAAAAGCTGTCTACAATCAATGTCTCCATTTCCTTTCCTCTTACTTCTCAACCTTTTGCAATCTGGTTTCAGGCCTTTATTTATTACTTAACTGAAACTGTTCACTCAAAGAATTCCTAATTGCCAAATCTGACAGACTTTTCTTAATCCTCATCCTGAACTCTCTGCAAATTCTGGTATTGCTGACTACCCTCTCCTCTTGGACAGTCTTTTCTTCTCCAGGATTCTGTGATGCTGCTCCCTTGAGGTTCTCCTCCTACAGATCTGACTCACGTTAGATCATTGTCCACATTAAAGTCCTCTAATGGAAGTACATAGAAAAACTCTGTCTTCATCCTCCCTTTCTTCTCCCTATATTCAGTGACCTCATCAACTCCCATGGATATAATTAATGTCTGTATGTGGGTGACCCTAACAATAGAGATCCAGCCCTAATCTCTCGCCTGAGAAACAGTCCCACATAAAAAACTGGACATTTGGAACTAGATGTCCTGTAGGCATTTCAAACTTAACATTTCCAAATTAGAACTCATCTTTTACCCAAAACCCACCCCTCTTCCAAACTTTCCCATTTCTGTTGAAGGAAAAACTATTCTGCCAGTCACCCAGGTTTCAAAACTTTGGTATCATCCTCAACTGATCTCCCTTACCCCACATATCCAAATATTTGCCAATTCTTGCTATTTCTATCTCCACCACATTTCTTACATCCATCATCTCTCCATCCAAAAAAGCCACCATCCTAGTTCAGATCTTTCACCATCTCTTAACTGAACTCCTGCTATAGCCTATTTGAGAAAAATTATTATTTTGCTATTATATTAACAACCAATTATTAGGTTAGGAGCCAGGATTTTCTCCTTTTATTTCTTCATTTAAGGCCTTGCCCCTATTTAAAAAAAAATCAATCTCTGAAGGACCTAGTTGACTGATGAGACTGTCCTAGCCCTCAAGGTACATGCTCTTCAATCTTGGGTGGTACCCCACCCAATTAGGAGACCTGATTTCTGTTTAGAGTGTATAAAGAATCCAGTCTGGGTGAGTTCTTGCCCCAAAGAAATGAGCCCCTATCCTTGTACCACCTTGATCAGAGTTTAGAGTAGCCCCGCTCATTGAAGAAAAAATCAAGAGTAGTCTGGATGGAAGAGGACTCCCCAGTCTAGACTTCTATGTTCTCAGCAGGGAGAACTGAAGACTTCTAGTCTACTTCCTCAAGATGGATTTTCACTTGTCAGGGACAATCCCTTTCAAAAAATATTTAAGGCATTCAGTGTCTCCATTGGAGGCTTTGGTTAGCACGAGAAACTACCAACCATCAATGTAGTATCATCTAGCCTAATTAATAAATTGATTATGAATTTCCCAAAACCTCTGTCTCTGGGGTTTATCATTCATCACAACTCCTCACAAATGCCAATGATTTTCCTAAAGTCCAGGTCCAGCCATGTCACTTCCCTTTGCAAACTCCAAAGGTTTCCTGTATCTCTAGGAGCAAATACAAACTCCTTTTTGGCATTTAAAGCCCTTCATATCCTGGCCCAAACCTACCTTTTCAAGCCTTAACATCACTCCCTCCATATACTCCATGGTACAAGCTGGCCTTTTTACTGGTCCTCATAAACCACATTCCATTTCCTGTCTCCAAGTCATGGGACAAGCCCTTTCCAGTCCCCCTTAATGCTAACACCTTCCTTCTGAGATTATCTCCCATTTACCTAGCATACATCTTGTTTGTAGAGGGTTGTTTCCTAGCTGGCTCCCCCCATTAGAATGAGAGCTCCTTAAGTGAGCTCCTGCGCATTTGTCTTTCTTTGTATCCCTAGCTCTTAGCCCAGGTCCTGGTATAAATACTTGTTGGTCTGACTTGTTCTTCAAGCCTGGCATGCTTACCTATTTATCTCTTACAACTTGTAGTCTCTTTCAGTTTCATTTAAAGGGCCATCTTCTACCTAAATGAATTTCCTGATTCCACCCAGCTGCTAGCTCTGTCCCCAATCACCTCCTCCAACCCAAAACCTTTTATCTACTTAACTTTATCTACATATACTTAAAGACTCCTTAAGCTAAAATGTAAGATTTCTGAGGGCAGAGACTTCGACACTTTTGTCTTTGTATCTCCAGCAGCTAGCACAGTAGGTTTTTAATGTTTTTGATTGTTAATACAGGCAATCCTCTTTTCAAAGAAACCCAACATAGAAAAATCTAGTTTACAAATCTAGTTTACCTCACAAATAATACCTCATATAGTGATAACCCCATGTTAGTAATGATGACCCTTAGGCACTGCACGATCTTTAATTATCTTTTTAAAAACAGATTATACCAATATTCAATATAGTATTACTGTTAATTATATAGTTATAGTTAGGTGTTAAGTTACAACAATTTCACAAAATCAAAGAATGTTAGAGCTGGAAAGGCCCTTCAAAATCATCTAGCTTCCCCATCCATACAAGCACCCCCTAATTTTGCAGAGGAGGGAACTGAGGTCCAGAGGTTATAACTTGCCTAAAAGTGCAAAGGTGAGTGGCAGAGCTGAAATTAGAACCTAAGTCTCCAGATCTTTTAGTCTAGACCTTCACCACTACTGCTTCATCTAATCCTTGAAAAATTAGTGATTTGTGATACACATATCAACACTTTATTAAGTAGAACACTCAATTACTTAGAAAGGTTTGACTTAATTAAATTGCAGTCTTCCTGGTACATTTAAAGCTTTGGTTAAAGCTCAGCAACTACCTGAATGTAAAATGAGAATGCTGTTGCTACTGGGTAGTAAAGGGAAACCAGAAGAATTTACAGCAAAAGTGTCAGAATCTACTACCAACTGCAAATCAATCAGAAGAAATCTTTATGAAATCATACAGCAAATCAATGGGAAGATATTTTTGTTCAATTTACACCAACCTTTCAGAGAAAGAACTATAGTATAAACTAGGGCAGACTTTCTAAAAGTCTATTCCATCTATCTAAAAGATGGAATAGACAAAGACTAGGATCCTTTACCGCCCCCCTTCCCCCCATATTCATCAGCTTTGTGGGCTTTAAAACACACAGAAAGCCTCCTCAGGTGGATAATTTCTCAGATACTTGTCAGATATTCCAAACAAAAGCTGCAGGAAACTCGCGGCTGGTCTGGCTGAGGTTCCTTGGCCCTCGGGTCTGGTAAGCAGTACACACCCAGCTAAGCATTTTGTAAGGTGATTAAAATGAAACCACCGAAGCCTAAACTCTGTCACCTGTCTACAAAGTCTAAGAGAGCTTCAGTCAGCTGTCACAGCTGGTCGGGCAACTTTTTGGCTTTTTTTACTCAAAGGATTTCCTTTGATGCTTTCTAGAGAGAACAGCAACTTATTTTTGCCTTCGAGGGCAAAGATTGGGGCAGCTGGTTTTTGTGGGGGGTTGGAGGGGCGAGGATAAGAAAGAGCTGAAAAGGGAGGACAGATGGATAGAGTAGAGAATAGCATCTGAAATACTCTGCTGCGGGGACACAAGGTGCTGAGGAGCCCAAGCCGACTTGAGGATAACAAAGCCTTGCCCTTCTAGGATACCCCAGGCGGTGGACACTGGTCGGTGCCATCTTGGGGTGGTTGAGGAGGGTTCAGAAAGGCGAGGCTATCGCAAAAAAGCGGCTTCAAATGGGCCAAAAGGTGTCAGAGAAAAGAAAGAACTGCTGAAGGAAAGAAGACCAAGGCCAGGGGTCTCTGCCGGAAGGGGGTTGGGTCCGTCTGGGGGCGCGGGGTGTTCGAGGACTACTTAGGAGGGGGACACAGGGAGGGACCTTCTTGTAATGGGGGACAGACAAACCCTGCATATGGGGAGGAGTGGGATACTATGTGTATGAGGGGTCGCTGTGTATGGATGAGAGGCAATGCTATGTGCATGATGGGGTGACGGGTGTGTGTATGGCGGGGCAGAGGATGCTATGTGTGTACAAGGGATGCGGTGGGGGGAGGGAGCTACTCAGCAGGGATGCTAAGACGAGGTAAATATGGGTGTGATATAGTGGGATAGGGGTCACCGCGTGTGGGGGAGGGGGGAGGAGGGTGCCACGTGTACGTAGGTGCGGGGTGGGGAGGGGGCGGCGGGATACTAAGTAGGGGGGTCAACTGTAGAGGGCGGGGTACCGCGATTGCACCTGGGGGATGGGGTCGACCCAGTGTAAGAGGCGGGGTTACCTGCGGGTAGAGGGGCGGGGTGCCACGTGTAGATAGGTGTGTGTGGGGGGGGCCGGCAGGATGCAGTGGGGGTGTCAGAGGGAAGACCCTGGGCGAGCCCAGCTGGGGAGGGCATTTTTTTTTAACGCGGAAGCAGAAGGTCGGGGTCTCCGGGGACGAAGGCCTCCCGAACACGTGAACCCCCTCCTCACGCGCTGCGGGCCACGCGCTGGGAGAGGCCTCCTATAAGCTACCTGGTTTTCCCTTTTCTCCCCCTTACCTCTCATTTGTGTCCCGGCTCCGACCCGACCAGGCCTAGCTCACGACAAGCCTGAGCGTAGCCGGCAGACAGGCCTCGCGCCAGAGGGAGTTAAGACTACGATCACTTTAAATCCGGGTCCTTGGACAAGGCTACAGCGCGCAGGCGCAGGAGGACGCGGGGTGGTGCTGTGCGAGAGAAGGTCCCTAGAGCCGAGGCCCCGCCCCCAGAGCCGAGGCCCCACCCCCAGAACAGAGGGCCCGCCCCCGGATGGTAGCGAAAGGTTGCCTCCCGCCGGGCAAAGCGACCTAGATCGGGGTCATTTCTTCGTTTTATTTCTCTGGTCTGGAGCAGCAAAGAGCCACCTTGTAGTGGTGGTGGCCACTTGGAAGCCACTGGTGGCCACCTGGAAGCCAGGAATCCAGGATACACTTAGAAAATTTGTCAATGTCTTGTGTTCCTACATCACCTATAAATCCCACCTTCTGCAAGCAAACGTTCCCAGTCCCCCTTAATACTAGTGCCTTTCCTCCGAGTTTATCTTCAATTTACCCTATATATGTCTTCTTTGTGCCTAGTTTATTACATGTTATCTCTCCCATTTGATTATGAGCTCCTTGAGGATAGGGACTATATACTGGGCTTAGCCTAGTGCTTGGCACACTGTAGGCAATTAATAAATGCTTGTTGACTTGACCTAATTCACGTTTCCCTCTATAACTCTCCCCTAACTCCTGCCAGAGATCCATTCCTTATAATAAAGAATTATAAGGGAAGTTCCACCCTCTCCCACCCTCCCCTTTAATCCTATCAAATCTCACCATATTTCTCAAAACAATGGAAGGATGCAGGGGGAGGATAAGGAGGCATCATTTCCAGATAATTGGACCCCTAGGAATGATATCAGTTAATACAGTCTATTTTGCAGGATAAATAAACTTAATAGAATTTCACAAACGTTTTAGCTCTCTGCTTGTTTGCTATCAATTTCATCCTAAGGGAGCCCTTAATGCTTTCTACTCCAAAGTTCTCAGTCTGTAGAATGGGACCAAGATGAGGTGTCTGTCACTTCTAACACTGAGGGAAAATGGAGGAGGCTTGGTAAGCCTTGGAGAGATATAGGAGCTTTCCAGTGGGAAGAATGGGAAAGGTGAGAGATGGGCAGGGTGTACTGGAGTCATCTTATTTTTAGTGTGATGAGCATTTATACTTTGGAAATCAGCAAATGCTTCAAATCAGGGCTTGATTTGTTGTTTTGTTGAAAGTTTAGACTTAAGAAAGTGATAGAGAAAAAGTCAATAATGCCTAGTAAATTTAAGTGTTGAGCATGTTTTCCCCTCCCACCCATACCTCCAGACAACTCTGGAAATAGTTTACCAACATACCTCTGGAAATAGTTTTGCTCACTCTTTAACTCACATATTATATCTTTACTAAAGCTTAAAACTGCACAAAGATTTTTGGGACATCTTGTATTTATTAAGTTTCTACTATATGCTATACTATACTATAAGTGAGAGACATTGTGGATAGAGAATAGTGGACAGAGACCTGGCCCCAGAGCCAGACTTGGGTTCAAGTGCAGTCTCTGACACATATGGGTTGTATGACCCAGGGCAAGTCACTTAACCTATTTCAGTCTTTAGTCAACTCTGTAACAGCATTAGTCATGCAGTAGGCATCAGTTTGCATCGATAGATCAGGCTTCTCACTGGGAACTCCCTATACTGATGATGAAAGCACAAGTCCAGTCCCCATGCCTATGTGCCAAGCACAGTAGTATTCTAACTTCTTTTTTTTACACATGAGGACATTTAGAGCAGGAGATAGTGACTTTTGATCTAGTTCTACAGATTGGAGCAGCTTTATAAGAAATGCTGCAGGTTCCCGAGTAGCTTGACATCTTCAGCTGGAGAAAAGGAGATGCCAAAGTACTGCTTCTGGTTAACTTTAAGCATTGAGGATAAAAAACCCAAATTTTTTATTGATATATATTTAGCTTTTGACATAACAATTGCAAGGTACTGTCCAAGGTACTGGAAATAATGTACATGTGCATTTTCTTGACTCTCCTGGAAACAGGATCCTCAGAGTTTCCATGTGTGGAGACACCATCTCAGGTGCTCTGTGTATGTGCCAAAACCCTTGTCACATTATGGTGCAATAATTTAGGATCAGCCCTCCCATTTTGCAGATGAGAAAAATGAGGCCTACGGAAGTTAGGCAATATGCCCAAGGTCACATAATAAGGTAGGATTTGAGCCCAAGTATTCTGATTCTTTCCACTACACCACACTGTCCATATTGTATTACATTGATTTGCTACAACTTGTTTGGCTAGGTGGATAGACTGCTGGGCCTGAGGTCAGGAAGACCTGAGTGCAAATCCAGCCTTAGACCATGAGAAGTCACTTAACCTCTGTTTCCTCAACTACAAAATGAGGATGATAATAGCACCTGCCTCAAAAGGTTGTCATGAGGATCAGATGAAATAATTGTAAAGTGCTTAGCGTGGTACCTGGTATGTAGTAGGTGCTTAAAAGGCTTATTATTAGTGGTTTTTAAAATGATTAATCTCCCAATCCATGGGCACCTACTTTTTTTTTCCCTACAAAAAGGTTTTACTTTGAATGTTTTGACATATATGTCATTGACCTCATTGGAGTTTTATGCCCAATAGTTGAGAAGTTGGGTCAAAAAGTATAAACCATTTATTAACTTATTTCTCATAAATCTAAGTTGCTTTCTACAATAGTTTCAACCAGTTCAAAACTCTACCTAATAGCATGTCATCCCCACATTGTTGTTCCATTGTGTCTGACTCTTCATGACTCCATTTAGGGTTTTTTTTGGCAGATACTGGAGCAGTTTACCATTTCCTTCTCCAGCTCATTTTACAGGTGAGGAAACTGAAGCAAACAGGGTGAAGTGACTTGCCCCAGGTCACAAAGCTAGTAAGTGTCTGAGGCCAGATTTGAACTCAGGAAGGTGAGTCTTCCAGACTTCAGGCCCAATACTCTATCCACTGTGCCACCTAGACCTGGGTCTTATAGAGACCTCCAGAAGTCATCTAGTCCTTTCCCTTTGTCTTTGAATCATATTTACCTCTGAGGAATCCAGTCCAGTCAGAGCCTCAGTTTTCCAATCTGAGATTGCCCCATCACTAGCTTCCACCTTAAAATACTTTGTGGGTCTTCCAAATGGGAAAACAACAAACAAACAACCTTGGAAAATAGAAGGATTTCTATTTCCATTTTTCAGGCAACTCATCTAGAACAGGTTGGAAACCACTGAGAGGAAGGAGGAAGATGTTTCATTCCTGCCTGTGTGTATCCCCCTGGCTAACATTCTCAGTGGGTTCTTTTTTTTAATAAGAGTCAGGCTATGAATTTCATAAATCTCAACAGATAGAGCTGGTTTTACAGCTTAGTTTGCTTAAAAGGCACATAATTAAAATAAGTTGTAAAGATGTTGGTGTCATTTGCCAAGATAAATATTTAAAAGGGTACAGCTGTAAGGAATACGTAACAACTCAAATAAGCTCTTGGCTCTTCCTTTCCAGGACAGAAATGGCTAGGGTTTGTCTTTAGTGAGCAAGATTTTCTGCCTTTTTGTCCTTGTATCCCTTAAAGGCAAGAAAAAGTGGGAAGAATCATAGGAGACCCTTTGAGACCAGACTCAATTTTTCATTCAGTTAGACAAGCAGAGAGGAGGCAAACGAAAGAGCCATCCATCCTGGTATGGTGGAGGGAGCCCTGTATTTGGATTCAAAGGATCAAGGTGTATATCCCAATTTACTTACTCCCTGTGTGATCTTGGACTAATAGCCTCTCTGGATCTCAGTGTGTTCATCTCTAAAATGAGAGGTTTGGGCAATTCAAATAAGCTGAAGAGAATGAACACAGATCCAAAGGTAGGGGGGAAAAGTCTGTTTGGCTAGAGCACAGTAGTGGAAGGTAATGATTAAATTGTAAGTAGGGGGCAAGATTATATAGGGTCTTGAATGCCAAGGTAAAAACCATGTGGTTTATCCTGGAGGCAACAGGGAGCCACTGAAGATTATTGAGCAGGACTCTGCCATGTGCAAAGAATTTTGGGGAGCAGCTGTTCCCCAACTATTTCTCTATGTCTCTAGAGGAAGGTCTGAAAACTGGTGAGTATAGAAATTTGTGGCATAGAGCTGGGGGAAACAGGTTAGGATTAGGATTTTTCTGCTTTCAGCACCCATCTTCCCTTCCTTCCAGCTCCATCTGCTCAAGTCCTATCCATTCATCCAAATCTATACCCTGGCACAGTGCATGGCACAAAGTAGGTGTTTTTAACTGTTTGTTGAATGAAAGAATTAATGAATGACGTAGAAGGAGCAATGCCATAGAGGGACAAATGTGCATGGCTCCTTCCGTGAAGCCCAAACTTCATGGAAACCAAGGATGTTGGACTTTCCTCCATCTACCAACACTGCTTCCACTGATAAATCATTAGGAGAATCAGGGTTCTGATGTCACCATGCTTGTCCTTCATAATAGTTTATACATTGTGAGTGCTTAATTAGTATTTGTTATATTGAATCAAATCCAAAAACCACAGAAACACTCAATTATGGGTATTATTGCTTCCCCACTTCCTGACGAGGCCTGAAAGATTACTCCACCTAGCTTTAAGTTATCTGTATTCCTTAATATTTAATAGCCAATTTTCCTAAGTTTAATTAGAAACTCTCCTTTCCATCTCCCCCTACATAGATAGGATGTCATCATTGAAAGAAACCTAGTTTAAAAGATAAGCCAGATCTAGTCCTTGGCCATCAGCTTGCCTTGGGACCAAGTCATCCCACAGTCTTACTTTCATTATTTGGTCCCAACTCCTTGGGAGATGTCTGTTTTGAGGGTCAAGGATAGGAGTTGTCAGGAGGTAGAGGAAGATCTTGTGAGACTCTAAGGAAATAATGGATATGAGTATGGTGAAAAAATTAAGAGAGACACAAATAAAGAAAAAAATTACTATTATCATTTAAAAAGTATTAGCAGTTGAGCTCTAATATCCCCTGCCAAAGTCCTACCCATGACTTAGTGTAGGGTGGAGGTGACTTTGACCTTGGGCTGTCAAAGGCTACACCATTGGAGCACAAATTCTGGCAGTTCCAAG